GCCCATTTATTGGGTTATTTGTTCTATTTGGTGTTAAGTTTTGAGTTCTTTATATATCCTGGTGATTAATGCTCTATCTGAGGTGCAGGTTGCAAAGATTTTCTCCCATTCGATAAGCTCTCTCTTCACGTTCTTGATTATTTCCTTTGTTGTGAAGAAACAGCATACTATTGTGCAGTAAAACATTTTATAAATAGGAGTATATACTAAACTAATTTTTAAAAAATGCAAGGTGCCTGTCTATTATCTCAGCCATTCAAGAGGAGAAGACAGGAGGATCACAAATTTGAGGCCAGCTTTAGCAATTTAGCAAAACTGTGTCTCAAAATAAAAAGGACTGGGGATGTAGCTCAATGGTAAAGTGTACTGAGTTAAATTCCCAGTATCAAAGAAAAAATAATTAATTTAATTAACTAAATTAAATAATTATAACAACATTGTATTAAGTACCTAAGCCAGTAACATAGTTCCTATCATTTATCAAGTTTTATGTACTATACATAATTATATGTACTATATTCTATATGACCATAGCACAGTAAGTTTGTTTATACCAGCATCACCACAAAGATGTGGATAATATGTGCGGTAAAACGTTAGGACAGGTATGACATCAGTAGGCCACCGGGATTTTTCTGCTCCATTATATGTTATTTATCATCTTTACACATTTTGACCATTGTTGACTGAATCATCATTATACTGTACATGATTGTACTTAACTCAGACTTAGAAATGATTTAGACCAGATTATTTTTACTCCCTTTCCTACTCTAAAATTCTATGAATTGTGAGGAGCATATAACAGAGTATGGGTTTAGAATTTTTAGAGTCAACTAATGTCACAAAATGTTCTCTTTTCATGTCTTGTATTACTTCTAACTATTCTGAAAGCTTTCATGTTTATCTTTCCCTTCTAGAAAAAACAATCCTGTCGTTCTTTGTAAGGAAAACAGTTCTAGGCTGCTCTTTGTGCAGGTAAATGACCCCCATCCCCTTCTTTTGTCCAAGAAAGGTTCAAGGATAATCAATCCATTAATAATCCAATGACTTACCAAGGGACTTGGCACAAACTAAAAGACAAAATGTCTACTACCTTGTCCCAAAAGACATGAGTTGGACCAGTACTAGGCTCCCAAGATGAAAACAAAGCATAGAAGATGTTATAAAATACAAAGAACAATGAGAGCTAAAATCCATGAGAAACCAGAACCTAACAGGTAAAAAAAAAAAAAAAGGCTCTATCAAAGAGTGGAATAAGTAGCCAGTTGGTAGAGTTCCCTTTATTGCTTGCATTTTATTCTAAAGATAGCCTTCAAATTGTTTAGAAGTATCACAAATCAATAGCTAAAGCTTTCCAGGTGAATTACTACTGTGCATTGTAATTATAAGTGAAGTAAGACAGCATTCACACAAAAAAGCTGAGATCAAGAAAATAACTTGTGTTGACTGAATGCTAGAATGGAGATTCCTGGGAAACTGCTGTTGTTCTTATAACTTCATTCAATCCCAAAAAAACATTTTAGTCCGGTACTCAGGAGACAGTTCTCTGAGGGTCCGTTTCCTATAAGGTCCCTTGTATTCTTAAATCTAAATTGTGGACAATTCTAACTTGTATTTTCTGAATCACTCCCATCTCTATGAAGTCGGTCAACAACCTTTTGAAATAAATTAGATTCCGTTTCATGATAAGGAAACTTCAAGAATGTAAGTGACCTCTCCCAAGGCATTTTGGCTGTTTTTTGGACCCATAGGCAAACAATTGCCTGATCTGATATTTCTCTGATTAGACCATATACTCTCCCTGAGAAAAATCTGAAAAATCTACCCCATAAACTTTTCACAAAGATGTTACATGTTCCTAAGAAATAGATTACATAAACACACACACAAAACTCTCTCTCTCTCTCTCTCTCTCTCTCTCTCTCTCTCTC